ATGTAATCTCAATGTGAACACTTTTATTAGTATAAACTTAGCTAGCTTTAACAAGCTAGTTTGCTAACATACTATTTTGTTAACATCTTAACAATAGTATGCAATACAGTAACACTTGCAGCAATATAAAGGTTTTATTTGCTCTCAAATCAAGCTCATGCACCACTTGTCACCATGATGGTAACTATCCTAAAACCAACATTAACAGAAATTCTTCTAAATTAGCATAACGAAACATTAATCATTACTAAATCACCCGCTTAACATTAATCTTGCACAAAAAAACATTGTATTACACTTAATTTTAGCATTTACTCTCCCTTTCGAGTGCCATCGGCAAAGCATGCTGGGAAATATACATCCCAGCCGTTTCAGTTAAACTTAAGTTCGTCTAAATTAAAAGAAATAATTTCATAAAACTCAAAACAATGAAACAGTTCAGTTTACTTAAAATATATCCATTCTGTGAACTTGAAAGAAAAAGAAAGTGCTAAATACTCACAAAAGTTCATTTGACTGAACAAATTAGTTTAATTTAAGTTTTTCCTACTCAAACCAATTAAGTATTTTGAGCGTTAGGGTTTACAGTGTGTCTGAACGATTTGCTTATTTCGGTCTCAATAATATACCAAGCTTTACTTTTTGGTTACATTGTATGTGGATTTCTGTAGGTGCATTTTTAGTCTAATTGATTTTCTGTGATCATTAAGAGCATGCCACCGATGCTGTCGGCAGCAATGCACAGCTCATTCCTTCAGTGCTCTTTAGGATGACTTCAGCATCACTAGTGCCACTGCGTGACCAAACATATTACGCAACTGTACATAAACAGATGTCCTCATTGAAGTTGCCTTCAGCAAAACTAATTATGCAGAAATATAACCAAAAGTTTGTAAAGCGCTTTGTAACATATGGCTATGGAAAGATTACAAATCTGACAAAGCCCATAGAGCGTCTGGTTTTGAAGAGTCTGACTGGTATGTTGACTGATTTTCAGTGAACCTTAAGCAATTACATTAAAAGTACTGCACAGTGGGACAACCTGGTAATATGGTGAGAGCAGTGAAAGATGACATGTGGGGAGGGAAAATGAGAGAAATCGAGGCTTGTGGGAGTCAGAGAACCATGCAAGAATAAAAAAAAATAAAAAAGGTGTAAAGGAATGAGGGATGCAAAGCCTCCCTCTGAGCAAACACAGCTCTGAATCAGACACCAATTTAGACCTGGCTCTCTCAAACACATTTGTGAAAGGAGCTCTTCAGCTGTAAAGTCCACGCACACGAGCACACACACACACTAAACGGACTGAATGAGTCTCTTCAGAGCTCTGGGGAAGCAGGATGTTCCCCTTCAGGACATATTTGAGTCTTTCAGCTCTGGAGAGCCGGCAGGACTCCAGCAAACAAACATTCACTGTCACAAATGCAATTTGTGTGACAGTTTGTCCTAGTCTAAAACTTTTTGTTTTATTCAGAACTCTATTCCATTAGCAACTTGTGCTCGTTTGACAGCGTTTGTCGTTGCTTCGGTAAGGCTAGTAATGCTGTCAATAGACTTGCTAATGCCACCACTGAGATACTAACTTGCATTAGTTTAAAGAGAGAGAGAGCACATTAAAATAGTTAATTGGTGTCATCTTATGACTCAAATTGACCATTGGCTGTAATGAACTGTCCTTGGAGGAGTTCAGTACTAAATTACTAGGCAAGGGAGCAAGGAAACCAAATTGTTGTATCTATAGTCTTGTGGCTATGGGTGATAATTTTATTTGTGAAAGACTGTTTCTTTTTAAACTAAGCCATATTTCATGTCCATGTTATTTTATTTATTAAGTACAGAGCCATATGGTAAATGGGATTATGTATGTGCAGCTCATAATTATCACAAAATTAATTCAGACAGGGTGATAAAAGATCATGTGACCATGATCACCCTGTCAGGGTTAATTTTGTGGTAATGACAAAATGGCTAAATTTAGTAATTCAGTTTGGGTAATTGTGTAACTGAACTCTTAAAGGGTTATACTAGTCCATAGGCTTCTTCAGGGATTGAACTTGCCGGCCTCGAAAAGTTATTAAAGACATCGTTAAAATAGTCCAAGTGACTACAGTGGCTCAATCTTAAGTTTATCAAGCGACGAGAATACTTTTTGTGCGCAAAAAATAAAATAAAATAACGACTTTATTTCAACTATTCATTTCCTTCTCTGTGGGCCTCGAGTCAGTTCACTAGTGTAATAGCGTAAGCTTCTGTTGTTGTACGTCACACGCATCACGCACATGACCAGCGTCGGCCAATAGTGAGCCTACGTGTGACGTAGCTCTACGGAATCGCACTACGTTAACTGACTAGAGGCCCAAAGAGAAGGAAATAAATAGTTGAAATAAAGTTGTTATTTTTGTTTGTTTTTGCGCACAAAAAGTATTCTCGTCGCTTGATAAACTTAAGATTGAGCCACTGTAGTCACTTTGACTATTTTAACGATGTCTTTAATAACTTTTCGAGGCTGGCAAGTTCAATCCCTGAAGAAGCCTATGGACTAGTATGGAGGAGTGATCCAGCTCTCAGATTTCATCAAAAATATCTTAATTCGTGTTCCGAAGATGAACGAAGGTCTTACGGGGTTGGAACAACATGAGGGTGAGTAAATACTGACAGAATTTTCATTTTTAGGTGAACTAACCCTTTGCTGTTTTGCTAATGCTGTTCAGTGTGTCGTAGTAAAGTTCTTAGTCAACAAGCTACCTCTTGATATTTCAGCCATACAATTTGATACATTGTTACTGCAGCACAATTTTTGGTTACAGTGAAGTGCGTCCACACCGTTGACTTGTTGTGTGCATGAAATAGACACTGAAACAGTCAAAATGAGAAGCGCTAATTAAACAATCACTGTTTCTGTTGATTTCATCCCTCCAAAAGCACTTAGGCCAACAAATCTTTTTTTTTTTTGGTTTAACGTTTCATATATTTTGGGTTGCCCAAATTTCGGTGCATCACTAGTATTCCTCATGAGTTATGACTGAGGATTATGTCATAATATGCTTATTAAATTCCCTCCCACTATTGCTGCCTAAATAAAACATGAAATAGTGAACGTGGCATGTATAGATTTAAAAAGTAAGTGACAAGCGAACACTCGTTTTGTTGTGTTTATTGAAAAGGTTTTGATTGACAGCATAATTCCGTCAGGCACAGACTGATAGAGTGTAAAGAGGTTTAACAGCTCGTAAGGGGCACAACTGAAACAGAACGGAATGTTCCACATATACAGAGATATGGAAAAATAACAAAACACTGTTAGTCAACTATTCCAATCTTTTGTTAAACAGAGAGGGATGCAGATGCTGAATGACTTTAAATTCTGCAAACATGTTACCTCACCGCGTGAAGACAGAAATCTACCTGGAATGCAATGCAATTCTTCTGAAAGAAAATACTGTAAAGAAGTTTTCATCCCTATTAAAACAAAACAAAACAAAAACACACCTATATAAAATCTACTCGACATACAACAATCATTTGCAAATTCAAATCTATAACTTAATTTATTATCTTAATTCTAATAAGAGCTGAATGGCACTATCAAATAGAGCTTAAGAGGAAAAGAACAAATGCGTAAAATGAAAGAGTGTTGACATCAGTCAGACCAGTATTGCTCATCATCCAGCCGCTTTAAAAGTGCTGGGGAAACACATTGTCCTTTGACACTGTCTGGATGTTCGTTGTAAACATTGTAAAGAAAACGTTCTTCAACCCCTAAATGCATCCCGGCTCTACCTCCATCCTAAAACACAAAAGCATGAAGGAATGCTGGCCTTTTGAACAAGAAAAGGTCATGAAAGGAAACGGATCAAATAAAACATAAATACAAGGAAATAAATAATGTCGATCTGTGTCAAGGAGGGAAAAGGACCAGCAACATTGTTTGATATGTTTGAAACAATGCAAGAGGGCTGTCAGTAGTAGAGCGGAGGATGTGAGCCAGAGGTTACAGGTTGTACAAAAAAGGAAGCTGAGAGCGATCGCTTGCCCTGCCATCCCACACCAAACAGTAAACGAAGAACTCCACACGTAATGGACAAACACTCAAAAACACTGTCTCCAACAGAACATGATGTCCCACAGCTGGAAGAAGAAATTACAGAACGACGTCATCCATATCTTTGAGAACCCAATCTGAGAATCAAGGTAACAAAGTGCCGTACAAAGATTTACTTTTTCGTTTTAAGAAACACCCTGCTTATATCTTTTGTTGATGCGGCTGTACATTCAAAGCGTACGTCGCAATATTCAGCCACTCAACTCCCTCCCAGGCACTTAACAAGTACAAAAATGCTATGTTTTGCAGGAGGAGGGAGCTGTACAGTCATCTCGTATCAAATCTACAGTTTTCGTAGTTTAGCAGCAAGCGAATCATCCTCTTTTTCTCCCCATTATATATTATTGCCGGCTTTCTGCTTGAATGCAATTGTCTGAGGACACCCTGAGACACGACCAAGCTATCCCATAATGCTTCGCTTAGATTCGCAGGGCCAGAGACACTCATCTGACAACCATGCACGCTGGAGTTGAATAGCAATAACGGTTCTGTACTCATTAACATAAAACTCAGAGCAGAGAGAAAGATTTTGGCACTTTGCAAACACACCGACCCGGAGGATTACCTCAAAAATGTTATTATACATATTCATTAGCAAAAGAGCAAATAAGAGCAACAAACTCATAGTATGGTTTCACCATATTTCTATATGCCATGTTAGGTTTAACCCACATAGCACTCCTTCATATCAAAGAGCTAGATGAAAGGATCACAGCGCCCATCTTCAGGGAAAACCAACACTGTTTTTTTTTTTGTTTTTATAAACACTATGGTGAACAGATCTGCTTATGTCACATGCATGGAAGCCCAAATATGAAGTTTTTTTTTATACACTATACAAAAACGATGAAAAGTGCTTTAAAAGTGAGTCAAAAAATCAGTGAGGTTTCCTCGCTTGTGGTCCTTTTATCGCGAAATTCAATACTGAGATACGGGCAAAGCAACTTCTGGTATACTTATTTCTTGCTTTAGAATTCATAATTTCATCCTCTTACTCTGCTGATATCACCAATTAGTTTCTCATACATTCTTGTCAATGTAAACTAAGAAATGGAAGAAAAAGAAAAAAAAAGAAGCAAAAATAAATCTCGCACTTCTGTGGTAAATAACTTACAAAATGTAAAAGAAGAAAAAACCCTTTGTTTACAGTACCAAAACCCGACTATAATTGTAGACCCCCTTAAAAACCTTATGTCTATAAATAGCTTTACAAATATACATGTTAAATCAAATAAAACTTTTGTTTTGCTTTTTTTTTTAGATTAAATGTTTACATGATCTCAACAGTGTATGCTCGCTTGCTCTTTTAAAATGTCATTATTTCGTTTTTTTTTTTGTTTGTTTTTTTAAGTACACTGCTACTGACTGCAATATGATACATATTTATATCTATATATTTACAATAAAAACTTTAAGATACATACAAAGCACACAGTTATATATCTTCTAATTAAATCTCACATCTAGGAGACCTTTCTCTCTTTTCTTATTAAAAAAGGATGAAAAACGTTCTTTGTGAGGAGTGGAGAGAAAGAGACTGGCCATGGGTTTGATTCTCACTCCAGTCAGATATTGCAGTAAAAAACCCTTCCTGTCCACGCGTGACAGGACGAGAGTACTCTGTCTGCCGCTTCAGAACTGTGCTGTTACACAGTGTTGATCCGTTCTTTTTGTTTCCTGTCCAGCAATTTGTCAGTCTGTTTGTTTTTTGGTAGGCACGGAATGGTTTGACCCTTCTGACTGCGTCGCGCAAAGGAAAAACAAAACTGGCCGAATACAAAAATAGGAATTCTCTTTTCGAAGACAAAAAGCTGAGTAATGATTTGGAAGAAAAGGAGGAGCTGAAGGACAGGGGCGTAATCTGTCCTTCAGACCTGTGAACAGTTGGAAGTCTGAAGCTTCTCGTTGAGCGATTCATGAGATCCACACTGTGCCAGGAACCCCGTCTGCACCCCGCTACATGCTGGTCCAGTGCAGCAAACCGAAAGATCCCCACCAACCACCATTCCTTATGTTCTTATGACCCCATTGCTGTGGTGGTGATGTTTAGGGAGGCAGGGCTCGTCAGGTAAGGAGTCGTGAGCAAACACGGAGTCGTCGCCGGAAGAACAGGTGCTGTTGGAGTCCGGACAGGTAGGAGAGTACTGCTCGAACGGTACCGACAGGTCCAGATACTCCTAAACGATCAAATGCACACAAACACACACACATCAGAATTGGCTTTAACAGTTAGGTGTTGAGAGTTAAGGTGTTTGGTTTGATGCACGAGAGCTCTTACGTCAGTGGAGGTCATGGAAAGAACCCTGTCGTGATCCTCCACCAGTTGTCTGAACGTGGGTCTTTGTGAAGGTACGGCGTGCCAACACTCCCGCATAATCATGTACCTGCATAAATCACACGATCCAAAACAATATATGCATTTACTGATCAGCACCAGAAATGAACTTGATCGATGGACAATTGGTGCATCCACACCTTGTCAGAATTACTATTACGAGCACTTGCGATCTCGTAGGAATAGAAATTATAATTTAGAATTTTCTGACTGCTGCAACGTCATGCGGAAACACCCAAAATGGTTGCGGCTTCAGCAGTAAAATGAAGTTAAGCATTTATCTTGTAATATTTCTATTTAATAATTCCTTTAATTGACTGTTAATGTCATAATGATGAAATAATAATCTAAAAGTTGAATACAGTTTAATGTAGCTAGAATTAACAAAGATCCTGCAAAATAAATGATAAGTTGATTAATAATCCATTTGCATAACAACTGTTGTTATTACTGTTTGTTGTATTGTGGTTTTGTCTATTGCCTAGTCAATTTAAACAGATTAATGTTGGAATCAACAGTGTTGGCATTGAAACATATCATTTCGAGTTGTGAGTAGAACTTCTGGGTTGTCATCTAGTAATGACGGTATTTACGACATGGCCTGCAAATATTCACCCCCTTGGAATTGTTTCTATACAGGTCAAATACTTCAATTGAATCGAATCTGAACCATTACAGCTGTTACTTATTAAATCAAAACAATATAAAATTCAAGAGTATCAGTAAATAATACACAAGATATAACAATGAAATTACGAGATTCACACCAAGAACGATAACTATAAAGATAACTAAAACGATAACTATATAGAAGTCCACACCAACGCACGGTAACGTAGGATGAGCTGTTTAAAGCAGGATGGATTTTGATTGGCTGTCAAAGTTTTTATCGTTCATCAGTTGAAAAAAAATTCCAACAATATCATTCCTCTGTGCCATTATCATTATAGTTGTGGTGTGGACACTGCTATTCTTTCAGATTTAGAATGACTTTAAAACTATATCTTTATTGTTATCGTCCTTGTTGTAAATGGGCCTTTAGATTATACAGCTATTTGTTCTACCATACATGGGTGTCATATGCCATTATAGACTCAGCAACATTATTTTAAGAGATGAATAAGAAGGTCTTAAGAGTTTTTCTAGATTAAAATGAGAAGAAATCGTAATCGTACAGTTCATGAGTGCAGTTGGCAGGTTTGTCCATTCGATGTCCCTCCTTCAGCAGTTTAAAGAGCTCCTCCACTGGGATACCTGGGTAGGGTGAGCCGCCCAGTGTGAAAATCTCCCATAATAAAACCCCATAAGACCACCTGAGATGCAAGAGAGGTCACAGTTCAGAGCAAATATGGGACAAAAATCACACATTTACATTATAGTACAAAATATAATCCAATTCAGTGAGAAAATGTCTAAACACTTGTTAGCCCACTATTATGCTGGTTGTGCTTGAAATAGTGGCGTAACAATACTCTCACTATCTCTATCGGTCCGTCTCTCTCTGGGGTGTAGATACTTGGCAGATGTGAGAGAGGGGTTTTGTTGGTTCTCACTGAGGCTTATAATGTATGTCCGTGATATGAGACGCGAGTCTATTAAACTAGAGCGAGTGTGTGTGCGCGCGCATATGTGTATGTGGGTGTGTGTTATCACAAGCTGCTCTGTTAACTCAGGGCTCTTTTGTTTTGGCCCCATTCCTCCCACGCCACCACTGAGCAGCTAATCAAATTAGCCACGCTAAGAGACAACAGGAGCTATGAGCCAGCTAATGCTACCCGGCCAAATACATACACACATATAACACACAGTCAGTTAGAAGCCTTATGGGGGCTGAATAATTGGCTCATCATTATATCACTATTCGTTCATTAGCTTTATGTCAGAGTCAAATCTCATTTACGCCCATCAGCGTGGTGCTCTCTCTTACACACACACACGCGCGCGCAGTGAATGAAAGGCTCACTGCTCATATATCATAGCATAAGTAGAGCCTATAGGCAGAGGGAGATGATATTATTTTATTACTGCTGTCTCAGGCCAGCTGTGATTAAAGTGTATTTAGACATATTGGGAAAGTGCAGTTCTATGTACCAGTCTGAGTGTGATGAATGTGTGTTCGGTCTACTGAGAGACAGTGTGCAATATACTAACATACTAATCAAAACCTGCTGCGCAAGTACACACACTAGTCTGCTAACATACACACATGTAAAACCACTCAAAAAGTTTTGGGTCAGTATGATTTTTATCTTAAAAAAAAGAAATAAATACTTTTATTCAGAAAAATGCCTTAAATTGATCAAAATTGTTAGTTTATTTGAAATAGAAATCTTTTGCAACATTATTAATTATTTATATTTTTGGTCAAATAAATGCAGGATTGGTGAGCATAAGAGAATTCTTTCAGAAACATTTAAGAAATCTTACTGACCTTTTACTAAACTAAATCTTACTAAACTTTTAAAAAGGAGTGAAGATGCACACAGAATGTTTGCTACAGAATTCAGTTTTTTTCATTTAAATATAATTTATTGCTAAAATAAATGCTAAATTATCACAAAAAAAAATACAGTCCTGTAAAGCTTACCTTAGATGCAACGTTAACAGTCTTGGTTTATTTCAAGTCGGACATGATGACTTGTCACTCAATGTGTGTTTACACAACAACAATGTACTAAAAACGTAAAAGTTTTTCCTTCGTGCTATTCGTGTAGACGTGTACAGATGACATAATCCCCGTTCATACAGATTTGTAAGAACGATTAAAAATGTTGAATTATGAATGCTAGGCCAGTAGTTGGCGATGTAACTTTGTAAAGAAACACTACGTGCCTTTAGACTGAACACATAATACGCGTGCATATGACGTCACCGTTTTCGCAAATTCACGTTTTTGTAGTTTTACACAGTGATGATAACTTGCACTTTGAAACCCATTTTCAAAAGTTAGGATTTTTAAGGCCCCCAAAAACTCTGTTGTCGGGTAAACGAACGCCCAAAATGCATAATTGTTTTCAGTTTTTAGTTGAAAACGGTGTTGTGTAAAAGGACCCTCAGTCAGTAAGTTATTAATGCAGTAACCGCTCTGATGAATTAAGTGATTAAATGGATCATTACAATCATTATCTGCTTCAAACTGATTACTTGCGAGTTAGTCAATCTTTTTGATGGATTCATTAAAAGAACTCCTTTTGAATTGGACTATGTAATAACATGTACTGTAATAACATGTTAAAAAAATTGTTTTCATGTCTCCGGTGAATTCCGGTGCAAGAAACACTGGCACACTCTCTCGGATGGCTTTGATGCTGTTTTTGCAGGGTTATGGTGTTCACTTGCATTCCTTTACCGCTTGATGAACTTTATGAACAGATGGCATGAAGTGATGGAGAGGAAAAAAAAGAAGAGGCATGCATGGCAATGCAAACTCACACATCACTCTGGTGCGTGTAGACACGGTCGAACAGTGCTTCTGGTGCCATCCATTTGACGGGGAGACGACCCTGAAAGGACACAGATCAGTCAGAACAACAGCGGTGCTGACCCAGCAAGACATACAGACGCCCATCGAACATCAACAGGCCTGCAGCTTAATCTCCTACTGTCCTATCTAATATAAATACACTTCAGCAGTTCACATCAACATCTTCCCTCTCCCCAATGTGCTCTAATCTCCAACTGTCCCATCGAATATCCAAATACCCACCAAACCCACCCCACATCTAAAACCCGCCATCACAACACGTAACAGTTCCATCCAACATCATCTATTCTACCAGTTTTAGGAACCTTGTTTGATCTTGCTACAAGCTACTATAAATTAATTTAAGGTAGTTTAACTACTTACATACTATATAGAGGGCGGAAATCAGTATGTGAGCCGAGTACTATATCTGAATTCATACTATTCATAAAACAGTATGCAAAAACTGATGACCTACTACTTGTGGCGAGATTCTAAAGTACGCATCCGATGGACACTTTACTATCCCATGAGGCCACAGGAGAGGATTTGTGAATGGCAGTGAAGCAACGCAACTGACGCCGTAGGTCGCATGATAATGACAACATGGCAGATGTAGTACGGCTGAATTGAATTCATACTACACATTCATAATACAGAATGTACTTGTTTAACGGACGTGAAGTAAGTTTCAAAGCAGATGTAGAACGTACTATATACAGCATACAATTTCGGATCCAGCTCAAGTGTTTTTACCATAGCTAAGCTAATGCCATGCTACTGAATTTTTTTTGTTAGCTACACCCCAATACTGCATTTTACAATGCATAGTGGGCCAGGTAAACCACAATGTGTTCAATACCGTCCAGTCCTCGCCAATACCCACACATTCTTAGTACCAACTCCAGACCTCATTCAACACTTAATTGATTTATAACAAGCTGCTCATAAATGCCCCTTCAAAAGTTCCTGAACTTGCACACACTCATTCGACTTCTACAGGCTTGACGTTTCTAAATACAGTGCGCAACCACATCTCTGTGCTTCAATCCAATGCCACCCAAGAGCCCTTCAAGCATTCTGAGACTGATAATCAGTTGTCGACTTACGTTGGTGGTCTTCTTGTAGTAGTCAATGTTGTGCACGTCTCTAGCCAGGCCGAAGTCTGCAATCTTCATCACGTTGTCCTCGGTAACCAGAACATTCCGGGCTGCGAGGTCCCTATGGATACACTGGCAACACAAACAGAAAGAGGGCCATCCTTTATAGACAAGTCTGATAAATACACACTAGGAAAATAATATCTGGCAGCATTTATAAACATTACAAGCCTCTTAAATTACTTCTATTCAAATAAGTTTACAAACTAAGATAAGTAGATGTGTTACCTTCTTTGAGGCCAGGTACTCCATACCCCTGGCGACCTGATAGGCGCAGGACACCAGTTCTTTAAATGTCAGAGTTTCGTTTGGGATCTTACAGGTGTCAAATGAGTAGTCCATCCCAGGAGGCCTTCTTGCCCGCAAATATTCCCTAAGATTCCCTTTAGAGGCATATTCCACCAGTACATACAGAGGACCTGTATGAACACAGTCAGAAACAATTCAGTCAGAGAAAATCAAAGCCGAACATCAAAGCTGTGATCTTATGTGTGTGCGTGCACTGACCATCTTGTGTGCACGCTCCCAGCAAGTTGATGATGTTCTTATGTTTTCCAATCATCTTCATCATCTCCATTTCAGACACAAGGTCCGACAGGTCCTTATCTGTGCCATCATCTAAGAAAACAGTTACAAACAGCAATATTGTGAAGTATTATTACAATTTAAAATTTATTTTAAAAATGAATCTATTACTGTGATGTCAAAAGCTGAATTTTCAGCATCATCACTCCAGTCTTCAGTGCCACATGATCCTTCAGAAATCGTTACAATATGCAGATTTGCTGCTCAGGAAACAATTCTTATTATTATAAATGCTGAAAACAGATGTGCTGCCTAATATTTTTATGATGCATTTTTTCAGGATTCTTTGATGAACAGAAAGTTCTAACTAGAACAGCAATTATAATATATTTACAAACATAAAATTATAAATAGAAATCTTTTGTAAATATTATAAACGTCTTTACTGTCACCTTTGATAAATTTAATGCATCCTTGCTGAACAAAAGTATTAATTTCTGTAAAGTCTTGCTGACCCCAAACTTTTGAATGGTAGTGCATATATTATTAATGATGGCAGTTAAACACATCTACAGTGTTAGAGTAATGAGATTTGATGAAATTGAAAAATGAATTTTCTTTGGACCATTATGATAAGATTTTTTTTTTGCATTACAGGAATTAAGATTCGGAAAGTAAATGTGTCCTGGGAATGATGTTTTGAGACATTCAACCATAATTCAAGTCAACTAATTGACTATGTTATACATAAAACATAAATGTAATGTAATGATTTACAGCATCTGAACACACTAACCTTTGAGCATCTTGACAGCAACAGTGAGAGGTTTGTTGGGTTTCTCTTTGTCAATCCCAATGGCTTCAGCCATCACAACCTGTCCAAAGCAGCCCTCTCCCAACGGTTTTCCCAGCGTCAGTCTGCTACAAAATCATCATTCACAGTGAGCAAGGAACTAACTATTTGCTTTAGAATTAGTCTGATTATTGTGGTCATTTGATGTTCACTTCAGCTTTAACTTACTTTGTACGTGGAAATTCCCACTTGGGGTCAGAGGGCAGTTCAAGCTCAGAAACATTGGGCAGCATCGGCCCATCGCTGGATGACAGGCGGGCGATCCGGACCAATGGGGTGTTTGAATTCATGGAAGAGTTCGACTCCAAGGACACCTGCTTGGGTAAAGAATAAAAACAGCATGTTATTGTCTCTGAAAGTGAAGAAGACAGCGAGTGTAAGAGCGAGAAAGAGAGAGAGAAGAAGAATCAAGATGTCTATTTTAAGAAGATCATCAACTCAAGTGTTGTGCTGCAGACAGAAACATGGTGTCTGTTCCTCAGAGGACTGGTCCTGAGAGAGAAAGGTTTGTAGCTGTCAGATCTCCACGTAATGGACCACAGAAGTGTGTGTGTGAAGCAACATTTCCCTGCTGCCACGAACACACAGGTATAATCTGTAGATTCGCTGAAAGGATGCCACTACCTCATCTGCCCCCCTTTCTTCCGATGCACAGAGATAAAGTTAAACATTCAAACGCAGCCATGGCATTATCATAATAAAAATGTGCATATCGAATTGTGATTGGTCTTCTTTCTTGCATCGGTCTGCATCTCTTTTAGCCATCCATAACTGACTTTGCATAAGAATTAATGTGATGAATGTCATGAGAACGACAAGTGCGTAAGTTTGCTTGTAACTGGAGGACAGTTCCTTGCAAGCACTGCGATTTCCTTTAGGAAATGCAAATCTGTGTAGACTTTCATGAAACACTGCGAAAGTATGTCAGCAGCAGGAAGATCAAACTGTCTTGACAATGATATCTCAATATTTTCTAAAATCAGAACTAGCTCAAAACACACCTACACAGACACTATTTGAAGAAAAAAAAAAGAAAAAAAACTGCAACATGATTATGTAGCTTGATTCCAGCGTGACATTTTCAGGCTTTGATTGCTGGAAATAACTTGAGGGAAAAAGAAGAAGAGATCCAGAGAGTGACAGAGGTTAGAGAGACAGTGTTTCAGCTGCTGCTGCTGCGATTTAAACTGTTTAAAACAACAGGCGAGAAACATGATCTAAACACTGGCAGTCACCGGGAGAGCATGAATATTTTCAACTGCCACATTGCATATATGACATCCATAGAACGTCTTCATACACACAAATAGCCCAAACACTACACACTACAAAAGGGTGAAAAAGATGCATTCAGGGCGATTCAGAGAGGAGATAAAGAGAAAGGAAGATAAATGGGCTGATCAAATCTTGTATCTACTTTCTGTTACCTGTCTCTTGAGGGGGAATTTGGACAGTTTTTGAACGGGCGGTGTGGGGAGCGTCTTCTGCGTGTTCATCCGCATACGGCAGAGGATAATGATGACCATGGTGAGGATGAAGAGCACGCAGCCCGTCACGTAGATGAGAATGTCCGCGTAGTCATCCTCTCTCTCCATCTCCACCGCTGACACAGAGCACAAGAGCACAGTTTAGACGAGTGTGATGACATTATGAGACAAATGTACCAATGTGTTGACCTATAGGTTAAACTAGTGTTTTAGCGACTGACGCTGTAGGTCACATGACAATGACAATCGTGATGGATGTAGTACATATGGACATATTCATTCACTATATATAATGTACTTCAATTTGAATGGTTGCAAAGTAAGTACTTATTCAAAATAAGTACCTACTGAGAGAGTATGCGATTTCTGACAGCCTTTTTTGATTGAGACGTATTAAAATGGTTTTTCATTAGGGTCCAAAATGAGCACTTATCCTATGCCAAATGCAAGCAAAAGCAAACTTGTAGAGTTTTGCTTTGATAAGAAAATAATTGAAGTTTTATTAGGGACTGCAACATAATTTGTCCCTGAAATTAAATTATGATAGTCTGACCCTCACTGATGTAAGCAATGCAAGATTCAAACATACCAACATTTCCCCAGTGGAAAATTTGCCATCAGAGGTTTATCTAGGATGCCTTTTTTTCTAGAGCTAAACGTGGTGACACATATATGGAGTATAAAATCAGAGGAACAAAATCATAATGTGAACAGCTGAAGGCTAAATAGAAATATTTATACATTTTCTCAATTCATCCACCTGTGTTCATGTTGGACCCTGTTTATTTCTAATACACATAACCACAAAATTCAGTTTATCAACTTGAATAGAACACGAAACCAAAAATAAATTGGCCACTAACTACAGTCTCAAGACTTTAATTGAAAAACTAACAGTAATTTAAGAAACAAGCCCTACTAATGGTTAGATTAGAGATCATCTTAAGTCAATCATTAGTTTGTTTGTTTGTTTGAAGTTATAAAGCAGAAGGCCTGCAGTTAATTTACAGCAACCTTACAAACTAATTAACATGCTATCGCGCCCCCATGCAGGTACAAACATCCCATAATGCCCCTCTCTCCGGGAGGCTTATTTGGCACTTGTGTGATGAGCCCCACAGATAGAGTTCAGTGGCTCTGCACGAGACGAGCGATTTTAATTACAGCAGCAGAACGGAGAACTGGATAACAGGATGAGAATTAATGAATCGGGCCTCCCAGATACAAGAACTGTGTGCCATCAGTAAATACTCCAGTAAACACGACAAGCACTTCCATCATGAGCGCATGTGTTATCGAGTGAAAACAGTCCATGAGCAAAACCCATCATCCGTTGTTTTTTCCCTGCATATGTCATGTTTAAATCTAAAAACAATTACAAACTACCAGGTTGTTCTTCAGAGTACTTTAGTCTAGTTGGCATATTTAATTGACATTATTAAAAACTAGGCTGCCGGGATTAAGGTCCATAGAGAATATCACTGAAAACATTTCAAAAATATTTTAACTGCAAAACTATGAATAAAGCATGCAAGGACAATAGGGAAAACGGGAAGTATAGAGACTTGGGAAGAAAGGAGTGAAAAGAAACCCCAGAGAGTCAGACTAGTATACCTGGTAACACTGTAAGCCAAGCAGAGTGATGGTTATAGCCAATCGAGTTCCCTGCCAGACAAGTGTATTGCCCCGCATCCTCAAAAGACACATTGGTCAGGTAGAGAATCTCCAGCTCTTTATCCGTAGTATTTATGCCCGCAGTCTGGAAAAGTAGGGAGAGACGGAGAGAGAGAAAGACAGATGCTTAGAGCACAACCCGGGAGAAAGGACCATCACCCAGCACCGGGAGGAAGATCTGAACGATAGAAGATCAGTTAACCCATCACCAGTATCACAGAGATCCCACAGTACTGCTTATGAGATGACCTAGAAGCAAAGTAAAAACCCAAACCATGGCGGAAAATGTAACGCCCCATCAGCAGCAGCGGGTCACGTTAGTTCTCATCCATAACGTGTTTGAGGTGCAAAGAAAACATAAAAAGAGCCGGGAAGAATATTACCAACTTTAAGCTTAATTTAACCTCTCACTAGATAAAACTGACACCTATTTATTTAGAAGTGTGTGTCCCAATTCTCAAGAGAGCCGTGTGTAGGGTATGAGGAAATCAATAAGAATGTGATGTGGCACAGTCTCGGCTCTTATTCAACATGCCCTTGTTGCATTGATTGGGGAGGAAGAAGAAGAAGCGAACATTTAAATGAAGCAGACATACACTCGCCTTACATAACAAGTCCTTGAATCAGGTCACCTTATTTATTGTGTGAGAAAGGGGCGAGAAGAGCAGTGCGAAATAGAGAGAGATTACGGGAGTTTGACTCTACGCCACCAAGGTCTTGACAGACAGCGGCTGTTTGGAGAGAGATTTACCTGGCTGGGACACTGTGAGCCAGAACGTATTCTCTGAAATGCCTAAAAAGTTGTTGGCTCTGCACCAGTACTGGCCTGCATCTTTTCCTGACACATTATACAGAGTCAGCGTATCGTGGGCCTCTTTTACCTTACTGACAAAACTCTGCAGAGAAACACACATACTTAGTCAGAGGCGAGCACGTTCACACATGAACACACACTTAATGATTTAAAATACTCAATCAGCTTGTTGTAGCACTTCTTTAAGACACCGATACACTTTCAAATACACAAAACAGTTACACCACTTGTTATTTCAGTACACAAACTTGCATCTTATTCACTAACCACCCACAATCCAGTTGAAACTGTCAAAAAATAAAGGTTCTAAAAGGGTTTTTTTCCACAGCAGTGGTATAGAAGAACTATTTGGGGTTCCCCAAAGAACCTTTCAGTGAACAGTATTTAAAAGAACCCTTTTTTCTCTACATTTTAAAAATCTAAACAACTTTTTCCACCTTGTTTGTAATGGAAAGGTTCTTAATGGAACCATCGATGCCAGTAAAGAATCTTTATTTTCAAAAGAGTATCGTAAATGAATTGAAGTTGAATTGTAATTTGAACATGAACTGCAGGAAATCAGATTTACTGAATAAACGTTTTTATTTAAATTGTGTAATTTTCAAATAAAAAAATTTTCTTGTTAAAAATCATAAAAATCATTTTGAATTACATTACATTTCTTTGACTTGAAGTTACATTCAAATTTCAATTACACTTTCTGTTTGGGAATTGCGAACTGGAATTAAATTCTCATGAGTATTTAAATGAACTCATTGTCAGTCTTTTCAGCACAAAACATCCCCTTTCATATTAGGCTTTTTATAGATTGTGGCTTATTTACAAAACTTAAACATAATGAACTGCTATTATCACAGAAGGAAAGCAACGAGATGTTGCCCTGTTTTGCGTAATTCCTTGTAATCAGGAACTAAACCAACACAGACCGTGCATGTAAATACACTAACAATACAATCAGCTCTTGAAAAATGCAGCCCATGAAGATGCAGTCACCAAATTTTTATGGCTCTTTATTTAAAACAAAAAATTACATGATGAGAGAGGCGGAACAAGCTCAGGAAATGTTGCGAGCTGGATTCAAACTCGTTTCACCTGCGTTGGCGCCACAGCTCAACACGCTAACTGCTAGGCAACTGACGTCTCTGTATGTTATAATTAAACGCTCAAATATTGTCTTTAGCCCCTTAGTCCACACATATCTGTTTCTGTATTTCTTTCAGATGCTTCATTTGCTTTATTCTCTGTTTCCGTTCTTTCCCTTGATCGTAGGCGTTGCGCCACACATGATCTGTCGCTCAGCACTCTCAGTCTGGGAGGGCTGGGGAAGGCTTTAGAGGGTGCGCAGATGAGACTGCGGGGAAGGGAAAAGCCGCCGCGCGGCTCCCAGTAAAATACTGTTTCAATTATGTGGGAGTCTAAAATAGCGTGGCGGTCTGGCCAGCCGACGCACTCCCCTCCTCTGCCTGCTGACTCGGCCCTTCCCTCGCTTCCCGCACTCATTTTTTCCATGGCTTTTTCGGGAGCCTCTTCCCTCGTTCCCTCCCTCCTTCTCTAAAGAGAGAGTGGGGCAGCACAGCTAATGGCTGTCTCCCTGCGCGACGCCACCGCGGCGGTTAGCTTAGCCCAAAACAGATGTCTGCCTCCTCTCTCACTCCTCTGAGAGGAAAAAGAGAGCGAGAGCCCCCTAATTCTCCAGTTGCACAGCCTATAGTGAGATGCTAACATGGGTGGGATTAGGAGTTGGAGGGAGGTGCTCTAAGAGTCACTCACAGCTCACATGAGACTTAATATGTGGTTTAATTTAAGCTGCAACAATGTTTTATTCTAACAAGCTAACAATGTTTTCATAATTAAATCGTTTTGTCCTCTGGGAAAAGAGAAACTACAAAAGTTTTTGAAAAAGAAAGTTATTCATAATGAAAGTATTTGACGTAAAAAAACAAAGTTGAATCATTCTCTTAAAAGTGGTTCATTCATGAATTCTTCTGATGTACCAGTATAGATGACTGTACCTTAAGGATGTTGACGTAGGGGGCGCCATTGGGCCCATACTGGCTTCCGTTCACCTCGATGTGTTTGAGCCACTGGATGTGTGGCTGAGCATCACTGTACACCTTACAGTGAAACTCCACGTCACTGCCAACCACCACTGTCTGATTGGCCGGGAGTCCCGCCTGTAGGATTGGCCGGTGAGGAGAGCGTTCTGATTGGACAAGAGATGGGTGCAGTCAGAGATGAAGTTAAGTTTAAGTTAAAGGTTGAATGTGTGTGTTGCGTGTTCATACCCAGCACGTCGAGTTGGTAAGTGTGTTTGATTGTCCCGTATTTGTTCTGCACCACACACGTGTAGTTCCCTCGGTCAGATGGAACGGCGCTCTCCATGACCAAACTCCACTGCTGATGCCTCAACTAGAGAGAGAGAGGATGACAGAGACAGAGAGAGAGTTTTGACGTTACATAAGAGGTCCACTTGAATCCTTCCTCGGGTTTTTCTGTTAGCTGAAGAAAAGCAGGTGCTAAATTATCTGTCTGTATAACGTTATGAGTAAGATCCACTGTGATGATAAATCTGAATTGAATTAGAATTAAAGAACCAAACAGAATGCAGAATTGAAATTCAATGTAAGGAAGTATAATTAAAAATAATGGAAATTAATAAACCAGTTTTTTTTTTTTTTTTTACTAGAAACATATCAAGCCTCTCAGATTAGATAGATAGATAGATAATCACAGACTTGTTTTATTTATTTATTTTTAGGTTTATTTTGGAATTCCTTTATCATCATCAGATGTGGAAAATATGCAGATGGGTCCTTCACCTCATACACACACACACACACACATACATATACATCCATTCATTCATTCATAGAGCACACTCTAATTGCATATGGCTCTCTCTCTTTCTCTCTCTCTCTCTTCTCTTGCGCACTGTCTCTTTCTCATTCCTTTTCTAGTACTTTGAAGGTCTGAGTGGAAAAAAATGTAACTGTGTAAATATTATGGGCTGTGTTTTTGAACAGTTGCATGGTAACACCAACTGAGAGGGCAACACGCACATAGACAAACACACATGCCTAAGAAAGTTGGCAAGGGCGCCCGTACCCCCTGCACTCCTCCTCCCCCGTGTCTTCTGGATCCTCACCTCCTCTCGGCTCGTTCTCGCTGGCTCACTCTCACACAGTGAGCCTTTGGTGTTTGCTGATTGACACACTGCACGGTATGAGAAATGTGTGCGAGCGACGTATGCAGGCCAGCTGACAGTCTTGCCTGGGCCCGGGACAAGATAATCTTAGATGGGGCCCCCCCAAGATTTTTTTTATTTTTATAAAACACCATATACTTTTACCCAAAATGAATAATAAAAACACGTTTAAATGGGTACATTTTCTATAAATGTCTTCATTTTCTTTTCTGACATAGCCTACTGCAGTTCTTGTTAAAACACACTAGACATGCATAATCTGTTCATTTTGGGCACTTTTTGTGTGAAATCATATTTATTTTTGTCCATCAAAAGTGTGCTTTCACTTTTAAGCATGAGCAGCACAGCAAAAATAGACTCGGATCTGACCCATTATCTGTTCACCGATGATGACGATGCATTTCAGCCGGCTTTTTATTTCTCATCTCCATAAATAGTAGTAAAGCTAATCCAAGGGCTAGAAATCAATGAATTCTTTGCTAATACTTCCTCGTCATCATGGAGAGCGCAGTTCGCACCGCTTTCTCCTTTCCACAAGCGTTTGCTCTCCCGTGGCGTCTGTCGTTGCTATGCAACAATGAACTTAGGCGCGCCTGTAAAAACGAGCACGCCGCGTCGCTATTATGAGCTAATATCCAACATATTTCCATATGTGGCTCTTTCCTCCTTTCTTATCAACAAGTGGATTTACAGCCACCACAGCAGCAGCACCGCTTCTTGACCACTATTTCAAGGACAATTAGGAAGAAAACGAATAAAAAGCTTTTATGTAACTCAAATATTAGAAATTTTTTCAACAAATATGCCTATTTTATTGATTTTTTTTAACAATTATTCCATAATTTAATGAGGGCCCAGTTCTGGGCCCCCCTCCCTACCCTGGGCCCGGGACAACAGACCCGTTTGTCCCCCCCTGTCGGCGGGCCTGAGCCTATGTATGTATGGGAGTAGTTGGCATATGTGTCCATTGACTTTTTTAAATCAAGATTTTAGGTTCAAATTAGTAAATGTATAAGGGAAAATATAGTATATTGAGTGTCCTGTAACTAGTGAACACCATTCTGTTAACTAGTTCATTTTAACCTCTCCTGCATTGAGACAAATTCATTTTTAAAATATTTAATTTAGTCTCTCAACCATTAAAAGGTCATAAAGACTACTGCTACATAAAAATAAAAAAACAAGCAAAATGCTGTTCAAATAGTTTTAAATGAAATAAACTTTCATAATAGTTGCTAAATGGTATTTAGAAGGGCTTTAGCCCCCCCAAAAATAATCTGAAATTAACAATAAATTAACTCTTAAAATCAGTGATTATATTATATTATGTTTTTTTATTTATTTTTTATTAAATTGTTGGTTTACCAAGAATTAAACCTTGGACTAAAGGCAAGAAATATTCTTTTGAGCTACATCAGCTCATGCTCAGGTTGGAAGCTGAGCCCCCTTGGACTGAAATCCTGGTTAACTTCCCAAAAGTTTTTAATGTCAGCTACTCATGTCCAGTGAGAGTATGAGAGGGCAAGAGTTTTAATTTAGGACCCTATCTTACTTGACATTGACATTTTGTGTGTGTGTAAGACATTTATCTCAATGTGTCTGCTGAAAAGAAATGCTGTGAGGAATTCTCAGCTGTTCCTCAATCTACCCAAGCTCTTTATCCAGAGGGAACGGGAAGAGAGGGTTAGTGCATTTATCCCATCCTTCATCAAAAGATAAGAGCTGAAAAGTGTTGTGATGTCGTGCTGTACCCAGCTGATTCAGAAACAGAAAAAAAAGAAAAGAAAGAAAAACAGCACGAGAATGACCCAAGCCAAGGTTCGATAATCAGTCAAAAAGCACTGGTCAAATTCCTCCCGGCATTATGCTGTTAACATATTAAGCCTCTTTAACTCTGATGTCAGACTGAGGTTAGGAGGTAAAACTAGTGCGGTGGATATTCATTTAGTTCAACTGAATTGTGACAGAACTACAGAGAAAATTGGGAGTAAAGGGACTCATGAGGTGGCAAGAAGCTCAGGTCTCTCTTGAGTATGTGTGTGTTTGTGTGTATGTGTATGTTCAGGATTTATGACTGTGTCAAAACGGTGCGGGCTCGTTCCGACAGCGGTTCTGTTTAATTTGACCCACAGAGACGGGAAGCAAAAACAACTGACCCCGGGGCTAGTCATTAAAACGACAAAACTGTTTCTCTATCTCTCTCTCTCAATGGAAAGTGGTACAGTAGTCTTACTGGAAACAACATGTTTCACCATTAAAAGAAGCCATCGATATTGTACAGACGGCCGGGGTCACTGTGATTTTTCCAAGTACAACATGTTCCTGGATCAACATATTTTGTTGATCCTGGAACAACATTCTTCTCCTCGAAAATATAGTGCTAACCCTATCCCTACTCCTAAACCTAATTTTACCCTGCTGAAAAATCCAGCATAAACCAGCATGCTGGTCATGGCTGGTTTATGCTGGTATAGTGCTGGTTTAGATGGTGGACTAGAATAGGCATGCTGTTCTCAAGCAAAACGGAGCTGTCAGTCACTGATTCCAAAAAGTGTATAGTAAAAGGTGTCATTGCAGTAAGGAGCATGAAATCTTGTAGAAGGCAATAGTGATAGCACGCACTTTCATCAATTGCTGAAAGATAATTAATTCAACCAAACTCAAGGCCCAACTAAAGAGAACACTATCATCATAATGGTGACTTCAAACAGACTTCAACAACTTACATACATGTACCATATCAAAGAAATAAAGCAAAAATAGTTTATAATAAATGAACATGGTCATGATGTTTTTGGAGTTGTTTAATCATCTCCTGGTGAGATCAGTGATTTTATATGCAGTTGATTTCATCTAAGGGTGTGTGGCTTTGAGTCCGTCGTAGTTGTGCTATCTGCTTGTCTCTTCTCTTTTTCCCTGTTCTTATTGTTCCTCTTATCTTCAGTGATTCTGCTTGGTAACCGCAGGTGTCATCTCTAATGGTTAATCATCACTTGTAGAGTGAATCTATTTTTATTACACTAACTGCTACACTGCTTCAGTGTTACTTTCACTCTTTAGATTGGGACCATATTGGGACCATATGACTAAATTTTCTTTTGGGGATAAATAAAGCTTTATCTTATCTCATCTTATCTTATGAAAACTGATTTTGCTCTGCCAATAAAAATGTAACCTACATTGTTTTTTTTCTTAATTAAACAATTTATTCCAATTAATTGAATAGTTGTCTTGGTCTTTATTTAACTATGAACACATACTAAGAAACGTGATATGTAACACATACATGAGTTTTGTGGTGGCCTTGCTGGGATCAATTCAGCCAGCACACAGAAGATAACATTTGCTGGTCCACCAGCACACCCGCTTCCCATGCAGGGGACCAGCAAACCATCAACCAGCATCCCATTCTGGGAGCCAGCAGAACAGCATGCAAAACATACCTTATGCTGGTCACCAGCATTGCTGGATTTTTCAGCAGGGATACCCACAACTTATCCGAACATTCAAGTGGGATAGAACATCGCTAAATAACACACTTTACTTTTAAACATATTTTTTACACATTAATGAATAACTAATTGCACCCAAGCACTTAATAAAGACATACATATACTGCTGTGGCTTACAGACAAAAGAGACATTTGTCGGTGGATTAGAGATTCAGCATTTCATTACTGATGCTCCAAGCATGGTGGTCCCACAGAGAACTGCGACTGAAATTGAGTCATCTCTCGCAGGACGTAACAGTCTTTCTCCACTCGCTCGTCAATTGAGCTGTTGAATATGTTGCGAGCTGCACACGCTCTCAAATGCAGCGTTTTCACAAAACATCAGTGTGTATGTGTTCGTGAGGTGTGACTAACCCACAGTGCCACAGATTAGCATTCTAACAATGCGACTTCGGCTGCCATATGTGAGCATGACAAAAGCCACGCCTCCCGCTGTCAATCAAGATCTCTAAATCGCCACGGTAACACCCTCTCAGAACCTCCCCCTTCTGATGACTCAATAGAGAGGTGACCTCTGACCTTAGAACCCTGCCAGTCAGGGACAGAAAGTGTCTGAGGTGTGTGTGTCTGTTTGTAAGTGTGTGTTTGTGTTAATGTGTGTGTGGCTCTTTGAAGGGGAAAGCTGTGGGAAAGTCAACTGTCTAAACAAAGCCATGGATCGTTTCAAACAATGAGAGTACGGCATGTGACTCATTTTCTTGCATTTAAAACTCATTCTGCAATCTTAACGCATTTAGTCAGCAATTAACGTCGCCAGAGAGGTAGTCAAACTTGCAACCAGCTCCAGCGCCAATAGTCACCATTATTGTTCCCCTTGCCATGCAGAAAAGAGCTTTAAGATGGTGATTTCCAAGAGAACTCCTCATGTTTAATTTAGCATGACGCTCTGCATTTTAACACATCGTTGAGTGTGTTGTCAAGCCATCAGGCCTGTCATATCCACACACACACACAAGGGAAGCACAAATACTTACACATATATATATAAGAGCCGTGACTTTTAGCCTTGGTCTTAATAGAGACAGAAGACACTTAGGGTGAGCTGTCAAGCACCTGTGTATGTGTGTGTTAAATAAAGCTATTATGATGCTGTCAGAGATCTCTATGCCAACAGCGACTGTGCTGATGCGGAGGGCAGGTCTAGTATAAAGGATGACCCTGGGTCAGTGCGGACCCCTGGTGTGTGTATACGTGTGTGTTTTTGTAAGGGTGGGATGGTCACTCTATGGCTATGGAGAGGTGAAGAGGTCAATGTTTTGTTTCTAAATGTCTCTCTTAGGAGACACTGGTTATATTCTATGCGTACAGGTCAATGCAAAGCAAGGCTGTGTTAAAGAATCTAATTGTGTGAATGCGTGTGTGTGTGCAAAAGTCACTCAGAAGGTCCCAGTTGTTGACAGGGTTTTCTCTTAAAATTCTGTTAATTTAGAAGCAAATGAGGCAATTGTTGAAATACAGTTGTAGTATTCCGCTATGAAACAAATGTGGATAGCATCAGAAGAACTTGATGAGAAATACTTCATATTGAGACTTTCATATCTTGGCAAAGCTACTAAAAACTACCAGAGTTTGAGATCTCATCTGAAACTTCATAGGACATGTGTGAAATTACTGGTGTCTTTTTCTCAAGAGAAAATTCTTTAAATGTGTTTAGTAAAAGTCTCAATTTGGGGTTATTGAGTGCTAAGGAGCAACGGCCCTGAGATATGAAAGATTGGTAATAAAAAATAAAAATAATCTAAAGAATCAGTGGACGCCCTCCAATACACGTCACAAACAACACCCGCACACAAACGTATCGACACATAAATAACAAGACCACACAGAACTTTGTGTTGTTCCTCTGCTCTTTCACAGAGGAACAGCAACAGGTGGACGTATCCTCTAGGGGCGACAAGCAAATAAACTCCAGAGAGAGAGAGAAAGAGAGAGAGAGAGCTCTTGAAGGAGCAGATGTTGGGGATCTGCGCAAATTATTACTAATTGCTGACTCTTATTATCTCTAATCCTAAACACACAATCACATATTTGCACATACACACGGACATGTTCTTAATCAATATTCCTATTGCCTTACTTTAATCCCGCCCATTCTCTGCTCTCCTTTGAATTCCTTGCCATTTTTCAGCCAATGGATGGTGGGCGTGGGGTTGCCAGCAGCGGGACAGCGGAACTTCACCGTATTGGCGGCAGGAACGGCCAACAATTTCTTCTCCATCCGGTCGGAACGGGTCCAGTATGGAGCTTCTGTTGGACAGAAATATAAATATGAGAATCAAATCACATGCTGCTGAAAATGTAAACTATAACTTATGTTATGAAGGTTTCTCAAAACATTTCAATGTACAGTCTATGAATCCATAGGTGCAAATGGAGCTCTATATAAGTGTATGTTGACGTGCAGTGCTATTTTTCAGGGGGTAGGGTGTTCCCTCTCCGGGAGTCTTCGTGTGGGTGAATGTTTATGGAAAGATTTTTCTTGAGCGCTTTGTGGCAGCGTCAGACTGGCTGCCTAATTCCCAGACTGAATTAAAATTTGTTTGGAAAAGCAAACACACTTACATACACTCTTACGTGAGTGTTAGGAGTGTGCTCTTGCAGACAGAACTCTAAAAGATTCCCAGTGTTAAATCCTTCACAGAGCCATGATCACACAATGTGGATTCCTAATAATAACAGCCTATTATAATAACGGACCAATTTTCCTTCATTTAATCTTCCCACAAATTGAGTATATAATGTTGACTGTCATGTGGTCGGGTCTGTGTTTATGCTTCCTAGTAGCTAATGCCAAAATATCAGAGCATAAATACTTACAGTAACATTCTTTAGCTAAAATAATAATAGTCATTATTTTCATTTTCAGGAAAGTCTTGCACTTTGTAAGTGTGTGTGTGTGTCTTTAAGAGATTGAGTAAACATACTTTCATCCCTCCTCAAACAATTAACTCCAGATCCGATCAACCCACGAACTTGGCGATTAAACCCACAGACGCCACATTTCGCTCCAGACATACATGCAAGCTCACAAACACACATCTGTGAGCGCGCACACACACATACACACAATAAACCCATTAACTAGACTGAATATAATTCTCTTGTGCATTATTTGCTCACACTATCAGATTGTGAATGTGAAGGGTGATTGGCAGGCTGGCATTTCCTTTGGCATAACTGACACACTGATGCCTACATACAACACAACACACACACACACACACTCTCTCTCTCTCTCTCTCTCTCTCTCTCTCTCTCTATCTCTCTCTCTCTCTCTCTCTCTCTCTCTCTCATCTCTCTCTCTCTCTCTCTCTCTCATCTCTCTCTCTCTTCATCTCTCTCTCTCTCTCTCTGTCTCTCTCTCTCTCTCTCTCTCTCTCTCTCTCTCTCTCTCTCTCTCTCTCTCTCTCTCTCTCCCAGTTTGTGCTGCATTCTCAAATGGTCAGTGGAACTGTCAGGAGAACTCAGCATGGGTCTGTACCCAACAGTGGACCTGGCCCCTACGTGTGTTTGTTTTGTGTGTGTGTGTGTGTGTGTGTGTGTGTGTGTGGTTTGCTATTTTATAGAGTTCAATACAGACAATTTGAGCTTTGAAGTGGGAACCGCGAATCTACAGTGACCCAACTTTTTTTTTTTTTCATTTCTTTTATTCTACAGCCAAAAAAAAAGCCATCAAAGTGCAGTTCAACTCCACACAGCTGATATTACGCACAGCTTGGTTCAGTCAGCCAAACTGAGAGCAGTAACCAGCACTGCATCATTAAGATATTACAGAATGATGTCATCAGATGTCACACGACCTCAACTCTTCTCAAATGTTCCAGAGAGCCCAGACCTCACAGCTCTCAGCTCCAGTGTGCTCTCATCTCTCTCTCTTTCTTAATTAGAGCTGGATTACTGGTCATTAAACTCTAAAGGGGTTTTGGTTTTTCGCTTAATCCCTCGTTTCATGCCCTCCCCTCAACCCTGAGACCCTCCCCCAACCCCGATACCACCACAAGACAGATGTGTTAGCTTTCCCTTCCCTCTCTCTTTCTTTAAAAAAATCACAAATGAGATCTCTCTTTCAAATCTCAGTTGTTTCTCCTACAAAGCAATGATATTAAATAAAGATCAAATGGAGAATGTCTCCTGCATCTCAAATTGTTCCCTCAGAGAAAGACTCACAGCAATCTTGTATGTCTGTCATCTAGAGTTTCAGAGATTATTTACATACTATTACAATATTTTTTAATGTTTTTAAATTAGCTTTAATTTCTATATTTTCATACTTTTTATTTTAATTTTTGTTTAGGTTTGAGTAATTTTAATATGTGCTTTTGTCAGTTAGTATTAGTTAAATAAAAAAAAAGTAAGTTAGTTTTAGTTCTAATACTTCAGCTTATTAAACTTATTTATTTCAGTAAGTTCCCAAGGCAACATTTTCAAATTTTTTGTTTTAGTTTTGCAAGTTTAAGATTTCCATCTTATATTTATTATTTATTTCTTCATTTTAGCTTTATTTCAATTACCAAACAAAATATTTTTTAATAGTTTCAGTTAACAATAACAACACTGAAGAGAGATATTAATGTGCTCATTTTTTCCAAGATATCAAAGTCTGCGAGAGTTTCAATATTTACTGAGAATTATATATATTTATATGAATAAAATCAGATATTCTGATTCTCTTGCTACAGTATATTGACATGTTTGCCTATAATAGACATTTATCAGAATGTGTAATTTTTTTTTTTTTTTTAAATATCAGTTGGGTCACTGAAATGAACACTAAAACACAGAAATATAAAATCTTCCTCTAGTTTCTTTCTTTAGTTGTTATACACATAGTTGAAGATATTGTGGCTTTTTTTTTCTGAGATTTTTAGTCACATTTCAGTTGATGCTATTAGACTTTTAAACTATTTCTCTTCTTTTTCCTTTCTTCTCTCTCCATCTCTCGTGAGAATTTGCATTTTTTGTATCAAGTGGGGGGAAAGTAGCTGATGAAATGAAATGCAACCTATCCCCAGCTAAGAAAGACAGCAATCACATGCATTTATTACAAAACAGAGATCACCACATGAAATCTCAATCAAAAAAGAGGAATGAAATGAGAAATAAGAGGGTGAAACACACCATTTCCATTACCTGCATCGTCCCTCTTCTTCATCGTAGTCCCTCATCATCACCAGAGGACAGCGAATCTAAGAGAGACAGGGAGATGGATGAGAGCGATCTTATTGACTACACCGCACAGTGGCCTTTCTGTATGAACAATGAACCTATTCATATGATCTGCAAAATGAGGAAAATAAACTGATAACACAAATCAAAACCAATTACTGCACACACACACACACACACCCTCAAACACTCACACACACAGAGCGGTTAATGGATGGCAGATGTTAGCCGAGATTCAGTGAGATTTCTGACAACAGCTGTATTTTTACACACATGTCTTGAAATACACACACACACACACATCACACTACCGTATCCTGCTTCTAAATGAACTTATTCAGAGGGAGAAAAAAAACCACTATGACCCTGAAAAAGAGATTATTCTGTCTTCAGCTCCTCCTCTGTGAACATTAACACAGGTAAAACTGTACACCACACACTCCCTAAAATACCAGTGGAGCGTGAAATCCAACACTAGGCCTATTTAGTACTAAAGATATGCTGTTACCGGGACACTGAAGCTTTTTGTGTGTGTCTGTGTGTGTGTGTGTGTTAGTTTTCACCAAACCATCAGATTTATGCTATATTTTTCACATTTTTGTGGCTTCACAGTCTTCATTGGCAACTGGGGGTTTATGTTATATTTTTTGAGTTATGATGGGTTGTGTTGTTGTTCTGTGGTGTTTCATGTTTTTAAAGGATTCATACACCCCAATGTCAAAAAATTGCCACAACGTCACTGACAAAACCCATGCAAACCAATGTTTCATGTCATTGATGTCAAACCTGGCGTGAAGCATCTTAAGACATGTGCTTCATGCATACCACTTTATTTACAAAATATTAATTCTTCAACGGGCGTTCACAAGAGCACCACGAAGCATGAGTATCGTTTTGACGTGAGAGCAGACGTTGTTGCGTATTTTGTAAATAAAGTGGTATGTTTTTTTTGTGTGCAAACAAAGCAACTAGCGTCATTTCATTAAATTGAGGTTAAACTGGAGTCACATGGATTACTTTCATGATGTCTTAACTACTTTTCTGGGTCTTGGAAGTGGTAGTTGCGTAGGCTGTCAATGGAGCGGCATAAAGCCCTCAAATTTCATTAAATAGATCTTCATTTGGGTTCCGAAGATGAACGAATGTCTTACGGGTTTGGAACGACATGAGAGTGAGTAATTTTATATGAACTATCGATGTAAAGATATGTTGTGTGTTGCATGTTGCTGTCTGTCAGTGTGTCTGGTAGCTGTGTCTAGTGTTAAAGTGTGCAGAACAGGATATTGCTGTCTTGTGGACATCTTTATCGGCATGCAATAATTGGTGCAGGTTGTGTGGCCCGTTTCACTTTTTTTTCCTCTGTCTTTCCCCATACGCTGCGAGAAGGAGAGCCGGTTTTGCCCTGGCCTAACGCCAAACACATGTTGGTAAAAAAAAAAAACTCTCCCTGTGCTCTTACTTTTTCCATCTGCTCTAAGTGATAAAGAGATTCCAGATAATTACATTCTAATTAGTTATCAATGAGCAGCTCAGCTTGTGTCCTCGAGTTTACAGAACCAAAGATCACTTCACACGACCATTTAAACACAGACACATTACAAAACAAACGCACGCGCCCCACAAGAAATCTGCATTCAATCATGTAATGTCTGTTTGAGTTTAATGATATCTTTTGTTACAGTATGAACCTGCAGTATTTAGTATGTAAACTGTGCAAATTCAACAGCAACAGCATTTTTTAAACATGTTTAACACTCCTTATTTGATTGGACAGCCAAAACGTTAAATTATTTTTTTACATATTTAAAAAGATTTTTTTTTTCAATTGTTAATTTAATTATAATAAACAAATGTTCTTTTTTTTTTTTTTAAATTAAATAACACCAATTCATTATTATATATTAATTATTAATGAACTAAAATTTATAAACTAACACTAGGGCTATACTAAAAAGCACTTGCTGAATTAAGATCCTGTGTCAGTAATGTAGCATGCCAGCACTGAAACGTGTAGCACTGCATAATGCAAACTATTTTTATATAATAACAGACATTATACAGTATATTGCGCAGTAAGCAGTGTTCAGATTCCATTCTTTAAGGTTTTGTACTAGTAAAAGATAATAATACCTGACAGGCCAGTTCAATGGGCCGTGTGTGATGCACAGACAAACAACAACTCTAGTGTCTATTCTAAAACTTTTCACACTGAATTTAATTTGTAGTGACCAAAATATGCTATTTTCCACCCTACTTCCCCAAAGAGGCCCCTTTTTTATAACACCCTTATTTTTATTCTGGTAAAAACCATACACAGTTTAATAACAGCCCAGTTACTTTGGAATATTAAGCAATATGCAGCGTTTGAGTGAGTGTTATTGTGCTTGATGATAAATGTCAAGTCAGCCTGTAGGTGTGTGCTGGGAGTATGTCTCAAGACCTATTTACCTGTTGAAAACAAGTCTGACTGGTGAGTTTCCAATTAATGTTTTGCGTGCCTGGGCTTGTGCACCAAAGTCTACTGCAGGAAGGAACAACAAGACTGCTACTTAAGTATTATTAGGAGAGAGAAGGAGAGGACTGACCGGTGACTCTGACGGTGTAGTTGCTTAGGCAGCATGCTGCTGAGGGGATGTTTACAGGAGTACACCCCCGAGTCTTCATAGGAGACGTTGATGATGTGAAGCACTTTTTTGCCCCACCCGCGTACGGTTGCTAGGAGACACGGTGTTGCCATCTTTCTGCCACACGATGGGGAGCAGGAAGTCATGCGGTGTGCAGGACAGATCCACCGTGTCCCCGACTCCTGCCACGTAGTCATCCAGAAACACTTCCACTTCCACCTCACTCGAAACCCAGTCTAACAGAGAGAAAAAAGAGAGAGACTTGTTAATAAAGTAAATTCAAATTCAGCAGTTAACGGAATTACCGAAAAACAAAATATACAAAGTTATGTCACGAAACTCTAGATGGCACAGGCTGATATGTCCTTAACTCAATCCGCTTGCAAACAGATCATGTCTTTATAGGGCGCAGCTGATTGGTTCCTGCTGTATCAGTAGACAATGAGCTTGCTGCTAAAACCTTAAAATACTTGGTCAGGATTTGCTATAGCAGTTGCAGTGCGCTTTTCAGAAACCCTCCACCTACCCCAGCTCCACCTGTATAGATCTGATTCGGGTAATTCATGTATGCTATAATTGTACATGCCAA